TTTCTACAAAATCGCTGCCTTATGATTCATACCGACAATTCCACAGTGGCGTTCTCGTAAACAAGCAAGGCTCCAGCGAGATCACTGAACCTTTTGAACTTAAGCTTTCAACTATTCAGATCTAACCCACGATCTAAATCTACAGATCAGAGCAGTTCACATTCCGGAGCCAAAATGTACTAGCAGGCCAGCTCTCTCGGCCTCATCTACCATCACCCGACAGAAGTGGATGCTCAATCACGGAAATGTTGCACAGATAATCAAGCCGTTAACTTAGCGCCCTAATGAATCTATTAAGCCACAAGATTCAACAATCAGCTACCGACATTACGTGTCACCAATCCAGATCCACAAGCTTGGGAAGCGGACGCTCTAAGTATATCATGGGAAGGCCTCAGCAGCGATGCAGCGTTTCATGCATCAACAATAATACCTCCAAGTATTACAGAAAATCAAACAAACACAGAATCTACAACTCACTTTGGTGGCCCTACTGGCCAGCCAAGGTATGGTTTCCCATGCTAATTCAAAGAAATCGGTCAGCCAGTATTAGAGCTACCCAAAGCTCAAACCTGTTAATACATCCACACACAAAACAAGTGCGAAACCCAGAAGTTTACCAACTTCGCGTATGGACTGTATACAAATGTGTTTAAACAAGAGGATATTCTGCCAGAGTGAAAAAAGCGGTCAACGGCTTACGACACTTCGACTCGTAACAATATGGCGACAAGTGGCACAGTTTCGAAAATTATGCAGCTAATAAAGGATTTAGCGAGAGATGCTTCACATCCTCAAGTGGCAGACTATTTGTGTTACCTCGCGGCCAAAACAAACATTTAAAGAGGTTCGGCCGATATCAGCATATCTTGCGGCAGCTTAGCTCTGTGATCACTATGAGAGCGGGTGTCAAGCTGACAAAATCTCCAGAGTTACTGGCCTTACTCGTGCTTTCGATTGGAGGACCAAAGCGGAAGTTCCGCTAGCAGGATCTGAATATAGTGTTACAACACCTCGCAAGTGAGGCCTATGAACCTTTGGAATCGACAAACTTTGAATTTCTCTCACAGAAACACTATTTCTGCTATCTCTAGCCACGGCAGCAGAATATCTGAAATTCCGGCTCTGGATTCACGAGAGGATACAGTTTGATGACAATCAAAACATAAGCGCACCTGGGATTAAGATGGGATTTCATCGCAAAAAATCAACTACCAGGTCAACCAGACAGGTTATTCCATGTACCCACGAAGCGCTATCCTCGATTCTCGGATCACAAGATACACAAGACTTATCACTGTGTCCAGTCAGAGCTCTCCAAAGTTTATTTCACGGCGATCCAAGAAGTGAAGATTTCTCAAAGATTTATTCATCCCCTTATAAGCCGTAGCGAAGATCAAACAGAAGTCATGCATTGCTACCATATCTATTTGGATAAGGACTGTCATGCCGGCCTACAAGGCAGCAGGCTTGGACCCACCAACAGCATCAAATCCATGAGATTAGGGCGCTGGCTTCCACCCTCGCCCTGCACGGTAACTGTTCATTGAACACAATTATGGAAGGATGCTTTTGGAAATCCGAACATGGTGTTTGCGAATCACTACCTGAGAGACATCACCACAGAAGATGTCTCTGGCATTCTCATTTGGCCCTTTGGTCCCTGCAGCTCAACAGCTGACAGTCCCTCCTACAAGTTAAAATATTACCATCACAAGTTTAATATGTATTATATACATAATTTAGCTAGCTTATAACTCTAAGGAGTTCTAGAGCTATGTATATATATTTAGCTTAGGTTATTCACCCTAAAGTATATATGGACATTATCTTTTTAGTTATTACAGCTGACTCTATCAGAGTCCTTATATATATATATAATATATGTAATGGTTTTTCAATATATATCAATGTAATACCCAATTATGGCATTATATAACCTATGGTTTTATATACAGGAAATATCTAAGTCAATGCCTTCATGAAGTTCCCATACCAGTTATTACAGTTATATTTATACAAAATCACTAATTATAAATCCAAAGTATTCTATTACTCCCTCCTCCGTTCCGTAGGATTCTACAAACAAAGAGCATGAGTCAGGATAAGGAAAATATGTAATTTTTAGAGTAAAATTGATATTTTATACTTATCTGACTCATGAGAATCAACTTCCTCCATCCTCCCCACATAACACTTTGGATTTCCCTGTAAATTCAAGTGTTGGGCTCAATAAATCAGGAGAGAGTGAAGCCGCGAGGTGTAAGGTGGTGACACCTTTCCCACCAAAAGGGATTAAAGGGGAGCAACTGGTGGTGAGTACTAATTAGTGATTTTACATTGAAGGGAGCTTCAATTAAGGAGATACAAGTGTTTCCACTATGTTACGCAAGAAGAAGACAAGCAAAGAGCATGAGTCAGGATAAGTATAAAATATCAATTTTACTCTAAAAATTACATATTTTACTACCAGTAGAAAGTAGTTTTGATTTTGTAACTTTCGGTGAAAACAAACCTAAATACCATTTATCCTCAGACTGGGCGGATGTTCCCGTGAGGTGCCGCCATTTTAAAAAATAAAAATCTGTTAGAATAATGAGATTATAGTTTGTTTTCATGAAGTTAGAAAATCAAGACTACTTTCTACTCGTTGTTAAATATGTATTGGAATCATAACCAAGCGGATTTTGCATGACACAACTTATAACATACTTGATTTCTTCCACGGAAGCGAGGTTGGGGTCGAAGTCACAATACTGCGCGATAAATTTCTTGCTACATTCCCATGGTTAATGTCCACTCACCAGTATGTAGATACTAGTCAATGTGCGTCTTTATATTTGGTCTTATAATCCTAATTAGTTTATTATCACACTTGTATGCATTTTGAAACTAAATAAAAAGCAGACGATCTGCTGATACTTATAGTGAATTTATAACAGAACTGTAATATCTAGACATTTTATAGTTTGCCAATGTGAATCATAATTAGCACACACACCTAGTGCATGTTGTCTGTCTCATTACATTTCACGGCGAAAACAATGATTCTGTTGAATGCTCTACGACAAATGAATAAAAACAAAATGCAAATATTAAAATTAAAACAGATTAAAGTTATAGGAACAATATCAGGCCATTACCTTGTTCGAGGAATGTATCCATCAATATCCACAAAACTGTTCCAAATGATGTGTCTTTTAACAGTTTAATATCTGAAAAAAGTGATAAATCTTTTCAGGTATTGGTGTATAGTCTCATTGGTCACCCAAGATAGCACACCTGGCAACTAATTGCATAATGTCAGCCTTTCTTTAAAAACAGTAATTTAGTTAGCCAATAATGGGCAATCAATCAATGTATTGCGGTTAATCCTTTGAAAGAAGGCGTTGTTTTTCGCTTGAACACCCGACCGCGACAGAGTGTATTCAGTATAGATTAGTAAATCTACATACATAAACACTACCTTTTGACAATTCGGCTGTGTAAGATAAAAGTAATTAATCAATCAAGCGTGTTATCGGTTAATCCTTTGATCGATGTTTATAATGTTGAATATTTACTCCAGACACAAGAAATGCCAAATGGGAACCTTTGTCGAGGGTAATCTAAGTGTGTTACCACTAATTATACCTGTTATAAATTCATTAACTGACCATCAAGTGAATGATGACAAATAACATGTGTAGGTTTATACCACCTAACACGGGTTACAACGAGGGAGTATTAATTGCTGTATTGCATGTGAAAACTTATGGAGCCGACACTGTTTTGAGAATACAAACAGATTTTTACATGACATGATTAAATATCGAGGTAAAACAACACAGAAATGGGATCAATTTGGATCAGTCATTATACAAATAGGGCCCTACTGACACCAATCGATTTTGACAGAATCGTCTATGAAAACAAGTTGTAACTTCGGAAACTAGGCAAAGCAGGAGACAAAATTAAATGACAGTAGATTGTGAGAACATATAGCTTTCATTTTCCACAACAATTGTCACGATTTCAGGTTTATACAAGCCTGTAAACGCGATAATTTACCCCCTAAAATGTAGATGAATTCTGCATCGGCTCTCAAAGCTATTCCTCATATAAGCGTCACAGAAGTGGCCGCTCTGATTGGTTGAAATTTCGATTGCGGGTGAGAATTGTGCACTGTTGTCAAAAGGTTGATTTAAGTCAATTAAAGGTCGAAATGAGTAGTTTTAATGGCGGGGTTTCATTTATAACGATGCCAGTTAGTGATTTATGTATTTGTACCCCTAGGGTTTATGTGACCTTTAATGAAAAAAAACCATAATGAAAAAACATGTAGTTCTTTGGGGTTGTTTTTTTGGCAAATTTCACATCTTGAAAGGTTTACCACTTAACTAGTATGTTAGGAACATAAAATTCCTTGAGTCTTAAGATAAATTCAATCATGACTTGGAACAAGCTTGTAGTGGTTATGAAATGTAACTTACAAAACCAACCTTGTGAAAAATATTGTTAATGCAAAAAGTGTTCCAGAATTGTTTGTGTTCGATTATGAGAAAACATGATCGATTGCTTGGTCGTTTAGTCACTGCGACCAATCTTCGATTATTTCAATTAATCGGACCACCACTACTTTGTAAGTGCAGTTTTCTTGACACATCACTATGTAAGTGCAGTTATCTTGACACATCACTGTCTAAGTGCAATTATCTTGACTCATCACTGTGTAAGTGCAATTATCTTGACACGTCACTATGTAAGTGCTATTATCTTGACACATCACTGTCTAAGTGCAATTATCTTGACTCATCACTGTGTAAGTGCAATTATCTTGACACATCACCATGTAAGTTAAATTATCTTGACACATCACCATGTAAGGGCAATTATCTTGACACGTCACTATGTAAGTGCAATTATCTTGACAGCAACATTCCACTGAGATTTCTGTCTGTAACAAAGACCTGATGGTTTCAAACTAAATCCTGTTGTTTGTTATTTGCTTTTTTCTTCAGATGAAAAGAAAAGGAAAACCAAGTGGGACAGTCAGCCACAGGTGTCCTCCGCAGTCCGCTCATCGAACATGCCAAACCCATCAGTTGTAACCTTGACAACGTCGGCAACAGGGACTAAAACAACAGTCATATCAGCCATCGGTAGTATTACAAAAAAGTCAAGTCAGAAATGACGGTAGTTGATTTCATAAAATATATACCAGTGCATTACCTCGTTAGCTCACCTGAGTTAAAAGGACCAGTTAGCTCACCTGGTTAGAATGTAAAGTCAGATGAAATCAGCTGTTATCTGAAAGTCTGTTCATATTCACACAAGAGCTGAAATACTTGTAAATATAACTCTGTCATGTAGCTGAAAGGGTCATTTACTAGGTTATAATATCCAAAGAAATATCATTTTTCAAGTCATTGTATGTCAGATACAACCAACAGTATCAAACCGTGAAAAACTCACAGAATATCAAACTGTTTCACTGCCTTGATGCAGCTTTGTATAGAACTGTATTATGAAGAGCAGTGTGTGTCTGTCTACCATGTTGGCTACTGTAGGACTGCAACCCAAGTTAAGGCCTCATGCTACTGCTACCCTAAGCCAACCTAAGCCAACCCGATCTCTGGTAGCCTTTTTTTCAATTATAATTGAGTGACACTTTGGGTGATATTTATTAAAAGTAATACTGCTGATATATCCCCAGGGTTTAACCTCGACTCACAAACATGGACATCCTGGGGACCCCCAATTATTAGTTTAAAGCTCCTTGGTGACAATCACGAGGGGCCCTGTGAAGTAATAGTGTAGAGAAATATCACGTTTTGATAAATTCTATAGAGTCTGGAATGAATCATTGATCATTTGGACACTTGACACTTTCGTATGTCAAGGCTAATCATGGGGTTTTGATAATGTTTCTGTCTATAAAAGTATTGAAATCCATTTCAGGTCTCATTTGGCCTTGTTTTACGTTTTACTGTGTATTTAGGGAGTGTTTTGAAACTGTTTTGAGGCAGAGATTTATATACATTCTGATTTCTTTGGGGCTAGTTTGCCATTATAGTTTCAGCCCGTTGAGATTTCTTCTGGGTAAAGATGGGTTCCTTGTGCTTAATACTTGTCATAAAGGAATGGATGTATACATGTGTGAGGGTGATCTTTGTGTGGTCTTACTGGGCAGCAAGGATAGTTATCAAAACTGGTTGGCCTTTGAGACTCAGAATATCATCCTATATTCAAAATATTTTGACTGCTGCATAAAACAACAGTCATCGGCATTATTCATTTTGTGTGAAAGGGATTAATTAGTAACCAATAGTTTCAAGTAAGGAAGATGTGCCATTTTATGAAAGGCAGTCAGCTGTTGAGACATCACTAAATATCAGATCTGTTAACATCACGTCAAGTCAACAACATTGCCATTCATTGTAAATATGACCATTGACAAGCAGGGACCCGTTCCTCAAAGCGATCGTAGCGCTAAGATGATCGTAACTCCCATACTTTAACATAGACTTACGACTATCGTAGCGCTACGATCGCTTTGAGGAACGGGGCCCTGGACTGTACATAATGTCAGAAAACAGGTATACCTGTCATTTCTTTGTCTCCCATGATTGCTGTATAGAAACATGTCTGTCCTCAGGCCAGAATATCTCAAGGCCGAAATAAATTATTTCAAGATATATTGTTTTGTGTTATTCTTTGCATATACAGTGAGGGACCCATTTGGAACTAGGAGGGACCAGACTTGTTTATTAACTTGGTTCAAGAATCTGACTTAGTTGACGTGTTAGAAATGAAAATGAAAAGAATTGCTTTTTATTATGCTGACCAGTAAATTTTTAAAAACCCAAATTATTTACTGTTGATATCAATATGGATATGATATTTAACATTGTATAATTGGTACTTGTGTACAGTGTATCTTAATCATGGATATGATTTAGTGAGTGAGTGAGATTAGTTTTCGCTGCTTTTAACAATATTCCAGCAATATCGGCGGTGGGGGACACCAGAAATGGGCTTAACACATTGTGCCCATGTGGGGAATCGAACCGAGTTTTCAGCGTGATGAGCCGAGCATGCTTTAACCACTAGGCTAACCACTAGGCTACCCTGAGTTGAGTCTGACCGGATATGATAAAACAGGCGTATGTGTGGAAACAGTCCAACTCATCCACTTACAATGTAAAGTGAGTGAGTGCATCTATTCATCTTCGACTTTGTGTCATCAAGACAGCATATCATTGTAAATGAGATCTAGAAACATTGCACCGTTGAACAACCCGTGTCATGTTCCAGTATATGTGCTGTAAATGAGTATCATTTCTGGTGTCATCCCCATTGTAAAAATGACATCTGATATTGCAAAATGCTGCGTAAAACTAAACTCACTCATCTCACTCTTGATAACCCCCTACAGGTATAAATGAAGATGTGGGTTAGAATTGGTCTTCACTCACTCACTCTTGCAACCCATGCTTGTTAGAGGTCTTCAGACTAACAGCATCGGGTGGTCATACGTTATTATGTACAAACTACATGACATGGTGGACTACTCCCGAGTTAAGTGTTAAACAACAAACTTGATAACCCATGAAGATCCTGGTTAGAATTGGTCTCAAAATAATTGTGCCAAGTCCCTGAACCACATTATTTTCCCTACAGCCTAGCCCTCCCTGCAATGCTAAAGCTAGTTTGTCTCACAGTCCCTGAACCACATTATTTTCCCTACAGCCCTAGCCCTCCTGCAATGCTAAAGCTAGTTTGTCTCACAGTCCCTGAACCACATTATTTTTCCCTACAGCCTAGCCCTCCCTGCAATGCTAAAGCTAGTTTGTCTCACAGTCCCTGAACCACATTATTTTCCCTACAGCCTAGCCCTCCCTGCAATGCTAAAGCTAGTTTGTCTCACAGTCCCTGAACCACATTATTTTCCCTACAGCCTAGCCCTCCCTGCAATGCTAAAGCTAGTTTGTCTCACAGTCCCTGAACCACATTATTTTCCCTACAGCCTAGCCCTCCCTGCAATGCTAAAGCTAGTTTGTCTCACAGTCCCTGAACCACATTATTTTCCCTACAGTCCAGCCCTCCCTGCAATGCTAAAGCCCTAAATGAGCAAGTCTACAGTTCGTAAGGTTCATCTTCTGCCTCACTTAAGACACAGAGAAGCTGGTTAAGTCAGATTTAGCTGAAGAAAATAAAAACACAATCTGTATCTAAATATTTAATAACTGTACAGAACTTGTAAAAGATACAGCATGAAATTTGGGACTTTGGGACAATCAAAGGTCAAACAAAATCACAAGATGCCTGCTAAATATTGATCTGACAAAATCACAAGTAAATCACACAAGGTCGCAAGCTAAGGCAAGCAAATGGCTGTACTTAATTTCTTATACAAAGACTCAAATTTACAAAGATGTGTGTGACCAGTCAATGTCCCATGATGCTGAAAGTCTGACAGAGTAGCAACAAGAACCATCTGTTCATAAGTTTTGGTACAAAACAGCTTGTGATCAAACCTTGAATTTCCCAGTGTCTAACAGACACACTATCCTCAAAAGCAGAATCTTGCACATTTTTTTACCCATAATATATGTATATACTGGCCCATATGCACTCACTTTAGCTTCCTACTGATGCAAAAAAAGACTTCTTATCCCTTACGACTTGACTGAAATCGATAACTGAAACTTTGAGGCGAACAGCTTCCAAACAGGGAACACTTGCCATATAAGGAATATAAACAATTGCTCCATACATCAAAAACTGTCGCACGCTGTGTTGTCGGTGTTTGGTGAACTGGTTTCAATCACAAGTTGTGCGTAGGATATTCGTACAGAGCGCTCCAAGGGACATAACTCTATGGAGTTCTCCTGAAATGATGTCCTGTTGGTAAAGAGTCGACAGTCGATTTAATGCAACATTGCATTAAATCATTCAAACTTTGTAATTTAGTATTCTATCCAAATACATAATGGTTTTGTTTTGTTGGGGGTTTTTTTTTTTGGGGGGGGGGAAGAGGGAGGGAGGGAATAAATTATATGGTAGCTTCCCTGAGAGCTGATAGTTAGTACTATTAAGAGAAGTGCATTATTTACTTTTTAGGGAAGTGTGGTGTGATATAGTGACTTTAAGACCTCAAGGTCATTGCTTCTGAGAACAAGCATGTAGGAACATTTTGAGAGTCAACTATAAGAAACGACCAATAGGAGCACAGTGCATAGTGTAAGATGTCAGACCAAACAAAAGAGAACAAGTCTTCAGACTGCCTGATGTACAAAATGGATGTATTACAGAAAACCTGAATGGGTTATCACAAATACTGCTTAAATGAAACAGAAAGATTATCACTTTCCTGGAATGTTAAATAACATATTCAAAATAGAATCCATTACAATATTAACACAGTGCACAACAATATCACATTAACAGTTTAGAATATATGAGCATATGTGATTTCAAAAGCCGTTATATCTGAGCTCACTACATCCAATTCACTTCATCAAAGCTGGTTGAACAGTATTACATAAAAGAAGCTCCTAGAACCAAACGGTTACCATGGCTACATTGTCTAAACTTGTGGTAAAACCATGTTAAAGAATGTGCAAGGTGCAAGGTAAGCTAAGCATTGGGGTTATAAGTACTAAGATCTCTGGGATTTGGCTCTGGAAAACAATGTTAGAAGATGTAAAGGTATTACTGTAGTCATATGTACAACTTCTCTCATCTTCACACTGCATTCTGAACCAAGTACAAAACCATTTGCAATACTAAAGCCTAGAATTGTTATTTGGCATGTATTTTGATATTTAGCAAACATTTGGATCTGTTTGCTTCTTGCCAGATGCACAGTCTATACTGACAAATGTCACAACAATCTCCTGTTACCCACTTCGAGGAATAAAACATTGATTTAGGAAGTGTTGTATCCCAAACATGTACTATTCATTTTTTTTGCATTCAATCCCCTTCCAATAATTACTATTTTGTTGGGAAAAGGTTCCTATTCATGGACACTGGGGTTTGAAACAAAAATGCCGTAAGTGTGTCTTGAAAGTATGGCATTGTCACGTTGATGTAGTACCTGAGAAACACAACCAACAAGTTTGTTGAAGCTGATTTTGATCCAGGATCATTATGATTGATCATTTGATTGTGTTTCAATAGTTTGGCATTGTCACGTTGATGATGTTTCCGAGATACACAGTGTTTCCACTGGCATTTTTTACAGCTGAACATTGTGACTGGCTAGTATTTCAAATACTGGTCATTTGTAAATTTCATTGTCCGCAAGTCCTTGCACCCTAACAACCAATCAGAAATGTAGAGGTTATCGCAATTTCTCAATGCCGCTATTTTTAGTCTGGGCTTTTACAAAACTGCTATTTTTTACACCTCGATGTCATTGTGAAAACGTAATCTTTTTGAGGAGAAATAAAATTGACAGAGGTAAGTAGAAAATTGATTTTAAAATTAGTCTGACACGATGACCGACAGCCTTTGAAATTACCGGACATTGAACTTTGTACCAGTCAAAGTTTGGTATATACCGGATAACGGAAACACTGAAACATGACCAACTAGTTTGTTGAAATAGATTTTTATCCAGGTACATGATAACTGATCATATTATTTGATTGTGTGTTTCGATACTTTGGGATTGTGATATTGATAAAGTTCTGAGATACACGATCAACAAGTTTGTTGAAGCTGATTTTGATCCAGGATCATTATACTGATCATGAATATTGATCACACTGATGGTGCAGACATCTTGATTGTCCCTTCAGGTTGTGGCAGCAACCCTACTCGTTAACACCAATACATCTACCCCATCAGCAGGTTATCAGAGCAAATGTTTACATATAATGGAGTACAAAATGTTTGCGCAATCAGTCATACATTTCAGTGAAAACAGACAGACATATTTGGCCAAATTATCAATCACCAGACAGCAATAAAATACAAAGACATAAACTATATTTTGAAGACATTACAATTTTCCCTCTTGAAAAAAAACATTGCATCATATAAAATAAAGACAATGAAACACAATTGGTGATGCGTGTCAAAATATGATAGTATAAGACCCTTCCCGTGACCAGTTACTAATTTCCAATTGATGTTGGCGACTTAAGCAATATTCACTCTCCTAAATTGCAAATCCCTAAATTTACAAAAATGTTATAAAGAACCTTGATCTAAAGTTCATATCATCAAGGACATAAGGATACCAAAATATATAATTCACGTTCCACACGTTGTTAAATATATTGAAAGAGACACCATTAACGTCCTTCAGGGGAGATAACTGGTTAGGGATGGCAGACAGAGGTGATGTCGATGTCAACATGGTGGCTACTGGAACATCGGGGGGAGAGGATCTCTAATCCCTTGGAAGCAGAGTCTACGTAGTACACGCCTTTATCAATTCCTGGAAAATAAAGTATGAAGTGTTTGTTTATCATTAATTCTTATACACTGTGTGTCAAGCCATCATTAACAAAAAAATCTTGCTGATATGTTTTTTGTTTGCGATTTAACACACTCAGCAACATTCCACAGCGGTCTCCATATAATCGAGAGACATTGTGAGCATCAATCTTCACAGTTTGGATCACATCCATCAACTAAATCAGTGGGTGTCTAATTTATGTCGCCTCATGACATTAGACTCTAGGAAGTGTAATGAGTCATTCTCTTTTACTTATTTGCTCAAATTTAAAACACTGTTTAATTCATTTCATATTTTGCCTGTTGGTATTTATATAAAATCAGCTTAAACAACAAAAACTTTCACCAAAATATGGGAACGTCAAAGTTCTATTGTTGTGTTGCCTCTCATTGCAATTCTAATAGAATGCATATTCTTTCACCAAAGAAGACTTTCAAAACTTTAAACTTTCACACAGGGCCTCGTTTAACCTATTGCAGTGAGTGATAGTAACTTTTATGTTGCTTTTAGCAATATTCCAGCATATATATTACAGCATGCAACTAAAGAAATGGACTTCTCACACTGTACTAATCTGGTGAATGTAATTTGCGTGTCTGCCTTGATGAGTGAATGCTTTAATCATTAGGCTGCCCCTAAAACCATTACAAGAAGCCTTTAAGTTTGAATTTTGATCTACAGTCAAATCCTGATGAGTCGAATCGCTGGGGACCAAGTAATAAATTCGACTTATCGATGTATTCGAGACATAGGTATGTCAATGAGGGTAGTAAAAAAGATGATCCATTCCTAATTCCACCGCCTAAGCATTTGTTTATCAGTTCCAGTCTGATTAGCACAGACAGTGATTTCTGTAAAATCACTAATCTGCCTTTGAACTCACCCGTCAATGGCGGAAAGGTGTAAGCTGCGCTGGTTTGTTAATTTGATCAGCTAGCTACACCAATTAACTTCTCATTGACTGACTTCGGCTTATGTATACAAGATTGCTGTTGTTTGAATCTCATGGGACCAAATTTCCTTCTCGAGTCATCGTGTGTATTTATGAGACGAATCGTGTAACCGGTATTCAAATGATGACAACTATAACAGGGAATGGTCGGGACCTACGGGTTCTTCGAGTTATGCATAATATTCGAGACACCGGCATTCGACTCATCGGGATTTGACTGTATTAGGTTATTACTCCAAATTGTACACTCTGACTGACTTCCACATGACATGACAGTACCTATTTTCTTATGAACATTATAGATTTTTTACAGAAAACCATAGTTGAGAAAAGGTATATTTACTATTGTCAAAAGTTACAGTTTCATCGATTTTGGAACTAGTCCGTGCTCTACAACGTGCTCTACTAAAACAAATTTAGTATCTTGACTATGCATCAATATATTAATAGCCCCTGGTACATATGCTGAATTTGAACTCTGGTTTTTGTGTAGATGTGTCAAGTCTGTGAGAGATATCCTCGCTCACCATGTTGAGTCTGACTCCCGTTCTGCACCACGTCCAGGGGGTCAAGCAGCTGTCCCAGTTTGTGGATCAGCCAGCGATGGCCTTCTTGTTCCACTGGCTTAAAGGTCATGAACATGGCTTCGGGCATACGTGTTGGCGGCTTCGAGTAGAACTGGAAGTCGACCGCTACACCTGTGGACAGCAAAATATTGTCTTCCAGTATAATACTATAATATCCAGTTGTTAAACATTTATTGATGGTAATGATTCAAAGCAGTGATTGATTGAAAATATGCATCCAATATATGTGATTTCCTTATGTGAGATATACAACTCAAGAGAAGATAAGGAACATGGCATGGCATGTTCGCGCCGGAATACAATCAAACACTGTGGCAAACTTTAGGGGAACTTTGTAAATACTTTGAGTTATCATCATGATCACCGTATGCCCACCTGGTCTGCCTTGTGAATCATTCTGAACGCTGAATCTGATGCAAACTTTAGGTGGTGCACCGTAGTAGAAGGTCGCTTCTGTGTCCTCTGGAATCAGCTGGACTCCAAACTTGCAGCTGCCATCTGAAGAATACATACATCTATTACATCACAGAAAAGTCAACAAAATGGCTTGTCACTACTCAGTGTTATCTGTCACTGAGGCAAGCAAATAAGATAAACGCAGAATGAACTCGTCAGGGGAGATGAGATGGGGTATAATGTAGCATGATTGCGTGATTCCTTAGCCACATGCACACATGAAGGTGTGTTTGTGGATTAAGTGTAGAGTAATGTCAGTTTTACCATGCTAGCCCTCTGGTCACCCCAGACACCAGACATTCTGACTCGACCAATCCTTGTTCATTCCCAATGATGCCGAGCAGCAGGCAGGGTAACAACAAAGACCACATTTTATTTCTTGTTGCTATGATGCAGCCAGGAACTGACCACTGATCTCTTATCTACTCATAAGGCCACAGAACAGGTTCTTTACACATGAAAATTGACTACATTCACCAAATGCTGTTTCAACTGTCTTGTAGCAAGAAAGCTGCAACTCAATAATTCTCTTTAACAACAAAAGTCCAAGGAAGTAGCAGTTAGGAGAAAATAAAGTGTGGTAAATGAGTTTCAGGTACACAAGTAGTTTACACATATTCCTATCCAGGATTTTAAAAGACACAGAAATTGCAGCCAGATTGCACATATGTATAGAATGGATGCAGAAAAAATACATGTGCATACCAAAGAATGCACAATTATAACTAAGTTCTCGACATGCAATGCAAGTCCACGTTATGAATACAATTATTAGGGGTGAAACGGCACTATCATACCACGGTATGGTACGTATTGCGGTACAAGTCCTTTGGTTCGGTCCATTTCGGTTCGGTATATGAGATATGATCATAATGCAGAAAAAACAAACAATAATCTTTGATATTTTGAATGAACAAAACCGTCAATTTATGACTAGATAGAAATGACGGTACAAAAACACCGATTTTTGCATTGCATTACAGTATACCAAACCAAAGGCAAAATACCGCTGTTCTACGAATACTGCAAGATACCGTTTCACCCCTAATAATGATTACATCTTACTGTACAGTACACTATACTGCCTGATTACTTTACAGAACACCTATGTGTCCTATAAGGGACCGTTCATAATTTATGGCTAGGGGGGGGCGGCGATGATGATTTTTATAGAGAAGCATGTACAATGTGAATGACCCACCCTAAAATTTATGTACAAAATCAATGACCACCCCCCTCCCCTTCCCATAATTATAAGCATAATTTTAAACATAGTTTTATGTACAAAGTTGATGATCCCCCCTAGTACGTATGCGCACACACACCTTGCCCTGTATACAACTTGCGCGACTTGCATGCCATACCTTATCTTGCGACGCACACACGCACGCACACGCACGCACGCACGCACACACACACACACACACACATATATATAAATTATGAACGGTCCTGAAGGCCCCTGGAAACTAGCAGTTAGGGGTGCTCTGGAGGTGTCGGCCCGGGAAAGCAAAATTTCAATATTCCCTATTCCCGGTAAAGCGAAAACCAAAGTTGTGCTAGAAGTGCCGCGAAAGCGAACCGCTATGAAAACATCGGATTACCGTACTTCAGATTAGCGGGCGACCCCAATACTCGATCTGTTAGCCTCTTAACTGAGATGAAGTTTCAGTTGTTTCAAGTTTCAGCACTTGATCTATGACAAGTTTAAGCATTGGTGTAGGAAAAGCCTCCAAGAAAAGAAGTATTGGAGCTGTGTAGTAAAATTTGTTTGTTGCTTGACTTATTTGACTATTTTATTTAATCCACCGTGCAAAAACGGTTTGTTCGAGCAGATCTCACTAATTCTCAGTTAACTGGGACAATTGCTGTCGCTGTTGCCTTATTCTAAACAACACTAAATTTATAATAAGTATCAACCTTCATTAAGACTGCAGTAAGTTATATTGCAGCGTCAGAAGCAAACATCTGGTTCTATGGCGGCACTTTTGTTATGTCTGTAGTGCGTATTCTTTGCATTTAACCTTGCTGCAAAATTTTATCCAAAGGAAGTTTTGTTATATTTAGTGTCATGAAACAACCAAAATACATACAGGTTAATTTGCCCATGTTAGCATGTCGATGGTTCACCAACCAAAACCCCTAACCCACGTTTAGATTATGTCGGTAGAGTCAGTGTAATTTACGTTATGTTGTCTTTGTTTACAGCTTTTCTTGTGGTAAATCACTGCACAGACCCACAAGATAATTTTTCTTGATTGGCCTGTTCATCTATTCTCGATATCTAAAAATATATACATGTAGTTTCGTTAACATTGATTTTTCTTACAATATGGAAAAATATGCTCGACATCAGTAGAGATTTTTTAAGCAAGTAATCATAAGTTACCGTTATAAATCAAAATCTAGCATATACATGTGCCCCAACCAAGCATTCTCTATTTATTCATCTTGCCATAACATTATTCATTACCAGAACTTATTTACGTTACTATAATTTACGTTACCGCCATATTTGGAAATTTGGAAAATTATGGCACATTGCGGTAACGTAAAACGTCAATGAATGCTTAACGATGTAAGTTGTCCATGCACGATATTTTCAATTCCACCTCCACATGATCCATCCGGTGAACAGTCTGTGGCTCAAACATTTATTGTTATTTATATATTAAATTTCTACCATGACTACGGTATCAGACGACGACTCACACTTCTTTGTTTTTCTTGTGTATTGAGAGTCCCGGGAACGCTAATTTCAGTGTTAACTGTAGCTTGACCGTTCCCGCGAAAGCGAAACCTAAATTGAGGAGGTTTGGTCCAGATTTCGCTTTCCCGGGCCATAACCGCTCTGGATGCCTACCGGTAATTTGGAAAGGAAACATGAATCCCTGCATATCATCACAAATCTGTGTATATTATCACTATTCTAATTTGATCAATACCCAAGAAGCATTTACTGACACATGTCATCATGACCCAATTGCATGATCCAATTGCTCATGCTATGGATCACTGGACTGTCTGGTCCGGACTCGATTATTTACAGACTGCTGCCAAATAGCTGGAATATTGCTGAGTGTGGAGTGCGGCAATAAGCAACAAACAAACTAAAAACACCTCTCCTGTCAAACACTCCCAAGAATGAAAGAACTTCTATGCAACACAGAGGCAGGAGTGATTACTTCTGCCCTTGATCTAAGGCTAAAAATGACCCCAGCTAAATAATTTCTGAATGGTTGGTTGGTTGGTTTGTCGTTCAACACCACAATCAGCAATATTCTAGCTCTATGGCGGCAGTCAGTAAATATTCAAGTCAGGACCAGACAACTCCGTGATCAACAACATGAGCATCGATCTACGCAATTGAGATACGATATGTGTCAACCAAGTCAGCAAGCCTGACCACCTGATCCCGTTAGTTGCCTCTTATGACAAGCATGGGGTGCTGAAGACCAATTCTAACCTGGATCTTCACGGGTTACTTTCTGAATGGAGGTGAGGTGAGGTGAAATTGGGTTTAACGTTGTGCTTGAGAATATTTCGCTCATATGACGACGTGCATGCGTGTGTATGTGTAGGTGCGGCTGCTTGTACTAGCCCAGACTGAAGCTGGTTTTATAGTGCTAGCCCACTGAGATACCATGCCGCAGTGAAGCATGAATACCCCACTCAGACACATTATACTGACTCCGAGGCGACCAGTCCTTGTTGTACCCATTAATGCCGAGCGCCAGGCAGTGACCAACAAGTACCATATTTTAACGTCTTTTGGTATGACGCGGTTGGGGATCGAACCCGCGACCTTCCGCTCTTCTTCTGAATGGAGATAATACAGTGAATAATGCTGGCCTCAGAACAATAGCACATATAACAAAGCAATTTGATTACCATTTGCCTGATAGAGATCAGTAACTGTGTGTGTCCAGGATTTGCTCTGTGCATGGGTATTATTGGTGATGTTGGGTTTGTAGATTCCCACTTGGAATTTGCCGGTGTTGTAAATACTGGCGAAGGCATCCATGTCTGTCTGGTTGTAGGTCTGGTACACATATTGCCCTAGTGGGTTTGTCCGCGATGCCCAGTTCACCTGGAAACAGTACATCCATTAGGTTATATAGGGTCAATTTTAGTGCTGCCATATGTGGATGGGTGAGTGAGTGAGTGGGTCAGTGCTTGTGCAATTGAGTGATGGGTTGATGGTGCAACATGTTTGTTTGGCTAGGTTGTTTGTTTAACGCCGCACTCAGCAATTTTCAAGCTATATGATGGTGATCTGTAAAAAATCGGGTCTGGACCAGACAATCCATTGATTAACAGCATGAGCATCGATCTATGCAGTTGGGATACGATGACATGTGTCAACCAAGTAGCGAGCCTGACCACCCGATCCCGCTAGTCGCCTCTTACGACAAGCATGGGTTACTGAAGACCAATTCTAACCCGGATCTTCACCAATGGGGTAAAGGTTGTAATTCATTGGCAAGTTTGAAGGTGGATCACGTGATTGAGTGGAAGCAAAGGGTGCAGGAGTGTGTGTGTGTGTGTGTGTGTGTGTGTGTGTGTGTGTGTGTGTGTGTGTGTGTGCAAGAGAGAGAGACAGAGACAGAGACAGAGAGAGAGAGAGAGAGACTTATCAAGGTGGGCAAGTAGTTGGGAGAGTTATTAAGATAAGAAAGTGGCTGAGTTATTAGGGTCAGAACATGGTTGGTTGAGTTATTAAGGTAAGAAAGTGGTTCAGTGAGTAATTAAGGTAAGAGAGTGGTTGGATGACTTATTAAGGTAGGCAAGTGGTTGGGTGAGTTGTTAAGGTAGGCAAGTAGTTGGGTGAGTTATTAAGGTAGGCAAGTGGTGGGGTGAGTTATTAAGGTAAGAAAGTGGTTGGGTGAGTTATTAAGGTAAGAAAGTGGTTGGGTGAGTTATTAAGGTAAGAAAGTGGTTGGGTGAGTTATTAATGTAAGAAAGTGGTTGGGTGATTTATTAAGGTGGGCAAGTAGTTGGGTGAGTTATTAAAGGTAGGCAAGTAGTTGTGTGAGTTATTAAGGTAGGAAATTGGTTTGGTGATTTATTAAGGTGGGCAAGTAGTTGGGTGAGTTATTAAGGTAGGCAAGTAGTTGGGTGAGTTATTAAGGTGGGCAAGTGGTTGGGTGAGTTGTTAAGGTAGGCAAGTAGTTGGGTGAGTTATTAAGGTAGGCAAGTGGTGGGGTGAGTTATTAAGGTAAGAAAGTGGTTGGGTGAGTTATTAAGGTAAGAAAGTGGTTGGGTGAGTTATTAAGGTAAGAAAGTGGTTGGGTGAGTTATTAAGGTAAGAAAGTGGTTGGGTGATTTATTAAGGTGGGCAAGTAGTTGGGTGAGTTATTAAAGGTAGGCAAGTAGTTGTGTGAGTTATTAAGGTAGGAAATTGGTTGGGTGAGTTATTAAGGTAAGAAAGTGGTTGGGTGAGTTATTAAGGTAAGAAAGTGGTTGGGTGAGTTATTAAGGTAAGAAAGTGGTTGGGTGAGTTATTAAGGTAAGAAAGTGGTTGGGTGATTTATTAAGGTGGGCAAGTAGTTGGGTGAGTTATTAAGGTAGGCAAGTAGTTGGGTGAGTTATTAAGGTAGGCAAGTAGTTGGGTGAGTTGTTAAGGTAGGAAATTGGTTTGGTGAGTTATTAAGGTAGGCAAGGGGTTGGGTGAGTTATTAAGGTAGGCAACTGGTTGAGTGAGTTATTAAGGTGAGTCAGTAGTAGGGTGAGTTGGTGTCAGATGAAATGATGAGTCAGCAACCAACTTACTCCATTCTTGTCCACCAGTGCTATGATTGATCCATCTTCAGCAAACTGGAATTTGTAACCTTGGTTACAAGACAACATGGCAGTGCGGTCGATGACCTCATGGTAATCTGTAACAAGATCATATAAACATCTATTTATAATTGTCATTCTTTCACTTTTTGAGCTGCAAACCAGTAATAAACAGTGTTCAAAGTGTGAAAAGTACAGCATACCGCTGAGAGATTAGTGATAGTAAGTAATGATATCTAAAATAGTCTTATGCCGCGATACCTCCCATGAGATACTGCTTGATCTCACCAATATAATATCTTTTGTCGGGCCAGTTTGGGATCATACAATATCCTCTATGCAACACTGCAACCATACAAAGTTTGTAATTAACCACCAGACACCATATCAGCTTTTCCCCTTTCCCTGATATGTACCAGTGAAGTCAGGGATGGAGGTGACGTACCAGCGAAGTCAGGGATGGAGGTGACGTACCAGCGAAGTTAGGGATGTAGGGATGAAGGCTACATACATACCAGCCGAAGTCGGGATGGAGGCTACATTACCAGTGAAGTCGGGGATGGAGGTACACGTACCAGAGAAGTAGGGGATGGAGGTTCAGTCATTACCAGGATGGATGGAGGTTACGCATTACCAGCGAAGTCGGGATGGAGGTTACATTACCAGCCGAAGTGGGGATGGAGGTTACGTACCATTACCAGCCGAAGTTAGGGATGGAGGTTACGTACCAGTGAAGTCAGGGATGGAGGGCTACGCACCAGTGAGTACCAGTGAGGGATGGAGGCTCGCATTACCAGTGAAGTCAGGGATGGAGGTTACGTACCAGTGAAGTCAGGGATGGACTGGCAGTACCAGTACCAGTGAGAAGTTAGGGATGGAGGCACGTACCAGTGAAGTCGGGGATGGAGGCATCAGCCGAAGCGTACCAGCGAAGTCGGGGATGGAGGTTACGTACCAGCGAAGTTAGGGATGGAGGCTACGTACCAGTGAAGTCAGGGATGGAGGCTACGTACCAGTGAAGTCAGGGATGGAGGTTACATACCAGTGAAGTCAGGGATGGAGGTGACATACCAGCGAAGTTAGGGATGGAGGTGACGTACCAGTGAAGTCAGGGATGGAGGTGACGTACCAGCGAAGTGGGGATGGAGGCTACGTACCAGTGAAGTCAGGGATGGAGGCTACGTACCAGTGAAGTCAGGGATGGAGGCTACGTACCAGTGAAGTCAGGGATGGAGGCTACGTACCAGTGAAGTCAGGGATGGAGGCTACATACCAGTGAAGTAGGGATGGAGGTTACATACCAGTCGAGGGGAAGTCACGGATGGAGGATGGAGGCTACGTACCAGTGAAATCGTAAGCGTGGCAGGCGGAGGCTACGCACCAGCGAAGTCGGGGATGGAGGCTACGTACCAGCGAAGTCGGGGATGGAGGCTACGTACCAGTGAAGTAAGGGATGGAGGCTATGTACCAGTGAAGTCGGGGATGGAGGTTACATACCAGTGAAGTCAGGGATGGAGGCTACGTACCAGTGAAGTCACGGATGGAGGCTACGTACCAGTGAAGTCACGGATGGAGGCTATGTACCAGTGAAGTCAGGGATGAAGGCTACGTACCAGCGAAGTAAGGAACGGAGGCTACGTACCAGTGAAGTCAGGGATGGAGGCTACATACCAGGGAAGTCAGGAACGGAGGCTACATACCAGTGAAGTCAGGGATGGAGGCTATGTACCAGTGAAGTCAGGGATGGAGGCTACGTACCAGCGAAGTGAGGAACGGAGGCTACGTACCAGTGAAGTCAGGGATGGAGGCTACGTACCAGTGAAGTCCGGGATGGAGGCTACGTACCAGTGAAGTCAGGAACGGAGGCTACATACCAGTGAAGTCAGGGATGGAGGTGACGTACCAGTGAAGTCGGGGATGGAGGCTACGTACCAGCGAAGTAAGGGATGGAGGCTATGTACCAGTGAAGTCGGGGATGGAGGTTACATACCAGTGAAGTCGGGGATGGAGGCTACGTACCAGTGAAGTAAGGGATGGAGGCTATGTACCAGTGAAGTCAGGGATGGAGGTTACATACCAGTGAAGTAGGGGATGGAGGCTACGTACCAGCGAAGTAAGGGATGGAGGTTATGTACCAGTGAAGTCGGGGATGGAGGTTACATACCAGTGAAGTCGGGGATGGAGGCTACGTACCAGCGAAGTCGGGATGGAGGTGCACGTACCAGCGAAGTCGGGGATGGAGGTGACGTACCAGCGAAGTCAGGGATGGAGGTTACGTACCAGCGAAGTCAGGGATGGAGGCTACGTACCAGTGAAGTCAGGGATGGAGGCTACGTACCAGTGAAGTCAGGGATGGAGGTTACATACCAGTGAAGTCAGGGATGGAGGTGACGTACCAGCGAAGTTAGGGATGGAGGTGACGTACCAGTGAAGTCAGGGATGGAGGTGACGTACCAGCGAAGTCAGGGATGGAGGCTACGTACCAGCGAAGTTAGGGATGGAGGCTACGTACCAGTGAAGTCAGGGATGGAGGCTACGTACCAGTGAAGTCAGGGATGGAGGCTACGTACCAGTGAAGTCGGGATGGAGGCTACATACCAGGAAGTCAGGGATGGAGGCTACATACCATGGAAGTCAGGGACGGAGGCTACGTACCAGTGAAGTCAGGGACGGAGGCTACGTACCAGTGAAGTCAGGGATGGAGGCTACGTACCAGTGAAGTCAGGGACGGAGGCTACGTACCAGCGTAGTCAGGGACGGAGGCTACGTACCAGTGAAGTCAGGGATGGAGGCTACATACCATGGAAGTCAGGGACGGAGGTGAGGTACCAGTGAAGTCAGGGACGGAGGCTACGTACCAGGGAAGTCAGGGATGGAGGCTACGTACCAGTGAAGTCGGGGATGGAGGCTCTCAGCTGTTTCCACTCTGTGGTGACCTGTTCTGCCAATGGGTGATCTCCCAGTGCCTCAAGGGCAAGGTCATTGAACTGTCGCTGCTCAATCCAGGACCATGGACCACGCAAGTACAAAGAAGCTGTAAGATACATGTTGGCAGGTCCATTAACTAAAAAATCATGTCACTTTGGGCAGGCAGTGTTATATTCTGATATAGCATATCCAATGTCTATCTCATGAGGAAACATTACTAACCTGTACAGATGATAACCATGAAAATATAACTCAATGGGAGTTAAAGATCATTAAGTAATGAAATCTAAATCCGTTTAAAATTAGATAACTTATTCTGCATTACTCAGGATACGCACACACACACAGACGGACAAAATGATGACATTTTTATACATGTCGTCTGTACATATCTTGCGCAGAAGAAGTTAAGGACCACACTCTAATGAGTGAGTGAGTGAGTTTGGTTTTACGGCGTTTAAGCAATATTCCAGCAATATGATGGCAGGGGACACCAGAAATGAGCTTCACACATTGTACCCAAGTGGGGAATTGAACCCGGGTCTTCGGCGTGACGAGCTAACGCTTTAACCACAAGGCTACCCCACCGCCCCACGTTCTTATGAACACATGGTAACACCTACACTGCTTTTCAAGAAATTTGTAGAATACATCGTTTTCCCAATTAATATAATCTCCAGCCAGGGCGATGCCATAGGTGTGTTCTCCGAGCTTGGTCAGGAACCGGGAAGCGTTGTACATCCGTTCATCATTAGGGCAGCTGCTAGCATCTGTGTAGACACACACGAGAAATAAACATCCTTCAGCTGATTGACATATTCATTGTATATATAGAAGACTCCTGTATCTCAAACTCTTCAGTTTCAAATGTCAAACATTATCTTTTCTCCTCTGTATATAACTGACTCTCTCCTCTTTCCCCTGTGCTTTGAGCATGCACTAGTGTGTGGATTATTTCGCATAACAAATGGCCATTATTATATTCTATTATTATATCATCTCTACTTCGAACCAAAACTATGGTAGATATATATCACTGTTGTTATTTGATATGTGACATGGAAATAAAAATCACATGAATAGCATTTTAGCCATATTTCATAAAACCGAGTCTGGACCAGACAATCTATTGATCAACAGCATGAGCATCTGGGGATACGATGACATGTGTCAACCAAGTCAGCAAACCTGACCACCCGATCCCATTACTGGCCTCTTATGACAAGCATGGGTTACTGAAGATCAATTCTAACCCGGACATTCACGAGCAATACATAGTTGAATGACAACAAGTGACTATAAATGCTCCATAAGTTGTCTGAATCATTATCGATAGATTCCAATCCCAGATTGTCTCCAGTTATAATCTATGGTTTGTGTGCACCATGCCAGCAACTGAACATTTAAGTTAAATTAACCCAAGGGAGAGTGGATGAACTACCTGAGGAAGCTTTAAACAAGCAGCTTGTTCTTTCACTTAAAATGGTGTCCTAATTTTATAACATGGCTAGACTACTTCAAATGTATGACCTTAACACAAGGGAGATAACTCTACTATACTCTACGATACTGCCTATGGAAGCTTTAAACAAGCAGTTTGTTCTTGTTCTGAAGAACCACACCAGCACCTGAACGTTTCACTTAGAATGGTGTCCTAAGTTTATAACATGGCTAGTCTATTTCAAATGTATGACCTTAACACAAGGGAGAAAACTCTAACAAGACATACTGCCTATGGAAGCTTTAAACAAGCAGTTTGTTCTTGTTCTGAAGAACCACACCAGCACCTGAACGTTTCACTTAAAATGGTGTCCTAAGTTTATAACATGGCTAGTCTACTTCAAATGTATGACCTTAACCCAAGGGAGATAACTCTAACAAGACATACTGCCTATGGAAGCTTTAAACAAGCAGTTTGTTCTTGTTCTGAAGAACCACACCAGCACCTGAACGTTTCACTTAAAATGGTGTCCTAAGTTTATAACATGGCTAGTCTACTTCAAATGTATCACCTTAACACAAGGGAGATAACTCTAACAAGACATACTGCCTATGGAAGCTTTAAACAAGCAGTTTGTTCTTGTTCTGAAGAACCACACCAGCACCTGAACATTTAAGTTAAAATGGTGTCCTAAGTTTATAACATGGCTAGTCTACTTCAAATGTATCACCTTAACCCAAGGGAGATAACTCTAACAAGACATACTGCCTATGGAAGCTTTAAACAAGCAGTTTGTTCTTGTTCTGAAGAACCACACCAGCACCTGAACGTTTCACTTAAAATGGTGTCCTAATTTTATAACATGGCTAGTCTACTTCAAATGTATGACCTTAACACAAGGGAGATAACTCTAACAAGACATACTGCCTATGGAAGCTTTAAACAAGCAGCTTGTTCTTGTTCTGACTGACTGACTGAGTTTAGTTTTTACGCCGCTTTTAGCAATATTCCAGCAATATCACGGCGGGGTACACCAGAAATGGGCTTAACACATTGTGCCCATGTGGGGAATCGAACCCGGATCTTCGGCGTGACTCTTGTTCTGAAGAACCACACCAGCACCTGAACGTTTCACTTAAAATGGTGTCCTAATTTTATAACATGGCTAGTCTATTTCAAATGTATGACCTTAACACAAGGGAGATAACTCTAACAAGACATACTGCCTATGGAAGCTTTAAACAAGCAGTTTGTTCTTGTTCTGAAGAACCACACCAGCACCTGAACGTTTCACTTAAAATGGTGTCCTAATTTTATAACATGGCTAGTCTACTTCAAATGTATGACCTTAACACAAGGGAGATAACTCTAACAAGACATACTGCCTATGGAAGCTTTAAACAAGCAGCTTGTTCTTGTTCTGAAGAATGCTCTCATCATGGCGACTTTCAAAGGATCTGATGCGGAGCCCTGGATCCAAGTATCACCGATCTCCTGAGTCACCAGGGGGAGCTGTGCTTTGACAGCTTGGGCGGCAGCAACAAAATCATCAAAGGTAGATGCATGGACAAAGGCATTAGGAAACTGTCCTCTGGCTATTTCATAGAATGTAAGGACTTCCTGAAAACAGACACAGTACCAGCTATGTAGTTAGAATTGTTTAAACACATACAATCATTCAACTGTCTTGGGGCGGCTATTGATATAGATCATATCAACTGATAATTTTTAACTGAAATTGATCGATTATTGATAAATATCGGAGAAGTAATTTTTAAAACATGCAAAAAGAGTTCTTATTGAATCAGTATATTTCACACCACTGGTGAGTGATATGTGCAAGGGCTACTAACAGAGACAGTGTTCTGTACATCACTTAGGTGTAATGATATACATGGCTCCAGATAATTTTTCAACATCAGGAGTATGTACTCCTTATTTTTGCAATATAGGAGTACTGGAAAACCGTAAGAGTATTTCGAGTACTGAATGGAATTTATTGCAGTATCAGTAATCTTGTATTTCGTTTCATATATGCACCACAACATTGCTACTCTTGTGTAAATGGGGCAATAAACAATAAAATAATACTTTTTCAGATAAATACGTCTGTAAATGATTCTGAGACCGAACACCATTGCTGTGATGCGTATCTGCTACGTTTTCTAAATTATTTCCTACCCTATCGTGCATATTTTGTAGCCGTACATACACCGATACGGCCCTTATCTGGAGCCCTGATATATCTTTGAGCATTGTCTAACTTTAAACTTTATTTATTCATAACAGTATATGTAAGATATTATCGATGACACAATTTCATATCAATAATAGTTCATATTGTTAATGTTAATGTTATTGACAACATTTTCAATGTTTTAGCCAGTCACACTACTAACACATAATTTATCCAATGAAAGTTTGTTCTGTTTCATTTGATTTAAGTGTTTGCACACATGGTACTAAATGCAAATTATTTACATACTTATTACTTTTGTATTTTAACAAATTGACCTGAAGATTTAGTTACTATAGCAACACTGTAGTATATTTGTAGGTCAAATATGTTACCGCCAGAGATTCTGGGGGTCCCTGGTTGTCGCTCCTGAAAGCATAACACATGGCTTCATCCAGGCCCTCGAATGTCACACAGTCATTAGCTGACAGGCCCTTGGGCATTGCTGGGTAGTTGCCTGGTGGATCAGGATAACCGACTAGAAGCAAGGGAGACAACTTAATCAACACATGTCAACTCTGTTTTTGTGCCACAGTATTCAAGCAATTATTGGTAACTGCAGAAAATTGTTGGTTGGTTGTTTAATGCCGGACTCAGCACTATTCCAGCTATATGGCAGCGGTCTAGTCTGGACCTCATAATCCAGTGATTAATCAAGTCAGCAATCCTGACCACATGATCCCGTTAGTCGCCTGAAGACAAATTTCAACCCAGATCTTCACAGGGCAAGTACAAAAGCAATGGCTAAAGTCATACAAAACCCCAATGACTTGATGAATATTAAAGTGCATACTCCAGAGTCTTGCTGCACCCAAATACGAGTGAGTGAGTATAGTTTTACGCTGCACTCAGCAATATTCCAGCTATATGGCAGCAGTCTGTAAATAATCGACCAGACAATCCAGTGATCAACAGCATGAACATCAATCTACGCAATTGGGATATGATGACACGTGTCAACCAAGTCAACCAGCCTGACTACCCGATCCAGTAAATACTAACAGATATAACACAGTGTAACATCAATAAAAGAAATATGAGATAAAATTACCAACAAACTTGTATCTAAAACAGTTTAAATAACATAGTTTCCGTTTTTAATTCAACAATATAATTTGGTTAAATTGTTGATATAGAAAATGACAAGAATCTATTTCTTACGAGGATGCCACATTCCGATGAGGCTGGCATTCTGGTACTCCCAGCGGAAGATCTTTGGGACGGCCGGCGGCGCTGAACCACCATTAACGCCAACAGTTATACCCTCGATGCCGTGCTTCGCATACAGAGGCAGCAGCGCTTTCGTCATGCCTGGAATTGTTCATCAACACATGGCTTCAGCAGTTCTAGTGAGGTGGAATTGGGTTTTACGTTGTACTTGAGAATATTTCGCTCATATGACGACGTGCATGCGTGTGTATGTGTATGTGCGGCTGCTTGTACTAGCCCAGACTGAAGCTGGTTTTATAGTGCTAGCCCACTGAGATACCATGCCGCAGTGAAGCATGAATACCCCACTCAGACACATTATACTGACTCGAGCCGACCAGTCCTTGTTGTACCCATTAATGCCGGGCGCCACCCAGGGACCAACAAGTACCATATTTTAACGTCTTTTGGTATGACGCGGTTGGGGATCGAACCCGCGACCTTCCGCTCTTCTTCTGAATGGAGATAATACAGTGAATAATACTGGCCTCAGAGCAATAGCACATATAACAAAGCTATTTGATTACCATTTGAGTAAGCAGTTAGCAGTTCCAGTAATCCAATTAAACCATCCATGAAGCCAAACAAGTTCTTGTAATCACTGACACGTAGCTTCAGCAGTTTTAAAAGCCTGATCAAACAATCCATGAAGCCAAACATATTTGGAAACCATACAAACACAGCACGGGCAGCAGTATCAAAGCACTGATGAAGCCATATTTTGGGGAAAATAATGTTGCTAAGGATGGATGGACAGAAGAATTACGTTTGAGACCAAATTTCATAAAAGTAAATATCTTGTTCATTTTAAATTCTAACGAAGTTCCAAAACTACCAAGAGCTATCGTGTAACTGATATTATACGCAGCACTGACTTCAAATCAACTTTTCATTTTCCCAGTTCTGAAATACACCATATTTCTGCTCCTACCTGGGACGTCTCTCTGACTGACGACACGCGTGGAGCGCTTTATTCCAAATCTCTTATCAAGGTCTTCGCTGATCTGCAGGGTGAAATCCACCATGGGTGGGTCAAACATTTCATTGTTCATATTCATCGGTCCAGCATGCCATGCGATAATCCCCATCTTGATTGCCGCCTCAAAGTTACTCAGTTCCGTCTTGTTAGGGCACTGCAAGCAAGGAAGACATTGGCTTGAAGGGCATCCTTACCAACACTAACACTGCCCTGTCAGTATATTTTCTTGAAGCTTGCCTGTCACGTACAAGTGAGTGGGTGAGTGAGGTTTTATGCAGCTTTTAGCAATATTCCAGCAATATCACGGCAGGTGACACCAGAAATGAACTTCACACATTGTACCCATGTGGGGAATCAAACCTGTGTTTTCCGCATGACGATTGATCACTTCAACCACTAGGCTACCCCACCGCACCTGACATCAAAGACACGGATTCGATTCCCCACATTTCGGGTATCCCCTGCCATGATGTTTCTGGAATATTGATAACAGTGGAGTATTGAAAAGTGGTGTAAAATCTTATTCACTCACTCGCTCTTAAAGACGTGGGTACGATGCATGAATTGCCACAGTCGGTGGACGAGTGTGCACCTTCTCAGTTCCCCAGCAGCAGATGCTGCCTATGAAGCACTAGATTGTTAAGTCTACCATCTCATCCTACAAGGTATTGGGCGGAGGGTAGCCTAGTGGTTAAAGCATTGGCTCGTCACGCCGAAGACCCGGGTTCAATTCTCACATGGGTACAGTGTGTGAAGCCCATTTCTGGTGTCCCCCACCGTGATATTGATGGAATATTGCTAAAGCGGCGTAAAACTAAACTCAGTCAGTCAGTACAAGGTATCCATTTACAGCTGACTGAACAGACACACATTGACAACGAAGAGGTGTAATGATATGATGAGGCCTCGATACGTATCATCATAATAAAGGAGCAACACAATATGTATCTTCATATGGTACTTTTACTTTGCTATTAAATTTCAGACAGCAGAGACAGGATATTATTTGGGAGAAATAAATAAGCTTGATATAGATTCTGTTTATTTTAACCAGCCAGGAAATTCAACAGAATCTGGTTATTTTTACATCAATGTAACCTCTAATGTACCGTTAATGAATCATATGTATTTGATACTGGAGTTGTAAATTAATGTATTGTATCTTGAGTACTGTATCGTGATACAAGACAATATATTGTATCTTGAGTACTGTATCGTGATACAAGACAATATATTGTATCTTGAGTACTGTATCGTGATACAAGACAATATAGTGTATCTTGAGTACTGTATCGTGATACAAGACAATATATTGTATCTTGAGTACTGTATCGTGATACAAGACAATATATTGTATCTTGAGTACTGTATCGTGATACAAGACAATATATTGTATCTTGAGTACTGTATCGCGATAGAAGACAATATAGTGTATCTTGAGTACTGAATCGTGATACAAGACAAAATATTGTATCTTGAGTACTGTATCGTGATACAAGACAATATATTGTATCTTGAGTACTGTATCGCGATACAAGACAATATGTTGTATCTTGGGTACTGTATCGTGATACAAGACGATATATTGTATCTTGAGCACTGTATCGTGATACAAGACAATATATTGTACAGTGCACTCTGTCAAACTCGGACTCTGTCTTTCTCGGATTGCTGTATAAACAGGACTGAACTCACGGTCCCGACGTAATCCTTCTTTGTTGTCATAATAAAAAAGTTCTGTATCTCGGACTCTCATTATTTCGGATTTCGGACCAAAGTGTCGGCCCGATAAGGTAGTTACATGTAAAAACATTGCTATATAATTCGGACTGAGCAGGAAGTCCGCTTGGACACAGTGTGATATCAATCAGTTGTAAGAAGCGATTTTATTGGATAAAGATGACGCTTTTTCGCCACAGTCTGCTACGTTTGACAACTTTTATGAATGTTGTTGTTGATTTCATTCATTAGTTTATTCAATTTATTTCATGAATTCCTCGAAACATCGCTACGTTGCTCTTTGACAATGTTATTGTGGACCCGCTGCCGAAGCAGGTGTCCGAGAATCGTTGTTTTCAAAAACATTGCGAAAAATAGTTTATAATTTTAATTCTGCTGATAATAGGGAGATAACTCCATTAAAATCTGTGTACTTCGGACTACTGTATAATTCGGACTTTTTAGTTGGTCCCAAGCTGGTCGGAATTAGACAGAGTGCACTGTATCTTGAGCACTGTATCGCGATACAAGACAATATATTGTATCTTGAGTACTGTATTGCGATACAAGACAATATATTGTATCTTGAGTACTGTATGGTGATACAAGACAATATGTTGTAACTTGAGTACTGTATCATGATACAAGACAATATATTGTATCTTGAGTACTGTATTGCGATACAAGACAATATATTGTATCTTGAGTACTGTATTGTGATACAAGACAATATATTGTATCTTGAGTACTGCATCATGATACAGGACAATACTGCTGTTCTGTTACTACAGACTACAAAGGACACATGAAATATGTGTTTCAGTGTGGGGCAGGACTGTAACTCACAAGAGTGCAGCTTGCCAATCACGGTCACCCATGCATCTACTCTCTGCAATGAATGTAGATCAACTTTACCCTGGACAAAGTCAGCATTAAGACCACAAGTAAGGCGACTAGTGCCAGGTGTTTCGGAAGAGGAGCTGCACATCACACCTTGTTTACAGAGCATGACATAGTTTAGGGGCATTCAATTACAAGGATGGGATAACTGGCTTGTATGGCATTTCAAGTCCAACTTGATTTGTTTTAGTCTAAGCCCAAATCGTTTCCATAGGAACTGGGAAAAATAAAAATGCTAAAATAGTAAAAATCTACAAATAGCAAAAGGCACCAATCAAGATCTGTTAGATTATCTGCCAAGTCTTGAAGAAAGATTGAAAGGTTTTCGAGTTGTGCTCCAGAAATGAAGCCCACTCCTCCCTTTTGAGACTAAGTCCTACTTGTTTCCATGGGAACCGGGAAAAATAAAAATGCCAAAATTTGCAAATAGCAAAAGGCACCACTTCAAGATGTGTCTCATTTATCTGCCAAACTTTGTTGAAAGATATTGAAAGGTTTTCGAGTTGTGCGCGAAAATGAATCCCACCCCTCCCTTTTGAAACAAAGTCCAAATTTTTCCCATGGAAATCCAGAAAAATAAACATGTCAAAAATCTGCAAATAGCAAAAGGCACCACTTCAAGATCTGTTAGATATATCTGCCAAGTCCTGATGAATGATATTGAAAGGTTTTTGAGTTGTGCTCTGGAAACGAAGCCCACCCCTCCCTTTTGAGACTAAGTCCTACTAGTTTCCATGGAAATCCAGAAAAATAAAATGCCAAAAATCTGCAAATAGCCAAAGGCACCACTTTGGGATCTGCCTCATATAGCTGCCAAGTTTTATTGATAGATATTGAGTGATTTTATAGTTATGCTCCAGAAACGGAATCCAATCCACCTCTTTTGAGACTAAGTCCAAACTGTTTCCATGGAAATCCAGAAAAAATGCCAAAAATCTGTAAATAGCAAAAGGCACCACTTTGGGTTCTGTTTGATAACAACAGTCCAGGTACATGCTGACCAGGCAGGGTTGGGTCATATACACCAGTTTCTCCCCGTATACTGCACCTGCCTGTAATTGTATTGCACCAGGCAGCACCAGGTTTGGGGGACAGTCCAGGTACATGCTGACCAGGCAGGGGTGGGTCATATACACCAGTTTCTCCCCGTATACAGCACCTACCTGTAAGTGTACTCCACCAGCCAGCACCAGGTTTGGGGGACAGTCCAGGTTCATGCTGACCAGGCAGGGGTGGGTCATATACACCAGTTTCTCCCCGTATACAGCACCTACCTGTAAGTGTACTCTACCAGCCAGCACCAGGTTTGGGGGACAGTCCAGGTACATGCTGACCAGGCAGGGGTGGGTCATATACACCAGTTTCTCCCCGTATACAGCACCTGCCTGTAATTGTATTCCACCAGGCAGCACCAGGTTTGGGGGACAGTCCAGGTACATGTTGACCAGCCAGGGGTGTGTCATATACACCAGTTTCTCCCCGTATACAGCACCTACCAGTAAGTGTACTCCACCAGCCAGCACCAGGTTTGGGGGACAGTCCACGTTCATGCTGACCAGGCAGGGGTGGGTCATATACACCAGTTTCTCCCCGTATACAGCACCTACCTGTAAGTGTACTCTACCAGCCAGCACCAGGTTTGGGGGACAGTCCAGGTACATGCTGACCAGCCAGGGTTGGGTCATATACACCAGTTTCTCCCCGTATACAGCACCTACCTGTAAGTGTACTCCACCAGCCAGCACCAGGTTTGGGGGACAGTCCAGGTACATGCTGACCAGGCAGGGGTGGGTCATATACACCAGTTTCTCCCCGTATACAGTACCTACCTGTAATTGTATTCCACCAGCCAGCACCAGGTTTGGGGGACAGTCCAGGTACATGCTGACCAGGCAGGGGTGGGTCATATACACCAGTTTCTCCCCGTATACAGCACCTGCCTGTAATTGTATTGCACCAGGCAGCACCAGGTTTGGGGGACAGTCCAGGTACATGCTGACCAGGCAGGGGTGGGTCATATACACCAGTTTCTCCCTGTATACAGCACCTACCTGTAATTGTATTCCACCAGCCAGCACCAGGTTTGGGGGACAGTCCAGGTACATGCTGACCAAGCAGGGGTGGGTCATATACACCAGTTTCTCCCCGTATACAGTACCTACCTGTAATTGTATTCCACCAGCCAGCACCAGGTTTGGGGGACAGTCCAGGTACATGCTGACCAGGCAGGGGTGGGTCATATACACCAGTTTCTCCTCGTATACAGCACCTGCCTGTAATTGTATTGCACCAGGCAGCACCAGGTTTGGGGGACAGTCCAGGTACATGCTGACCAGGCAGGGGTGGGTCATATACACCAGTTTCTCCCTGTATACAGCACCTACCTGTAATTGTATTCCACCAGCCAGCACCAGGTTTGGGGGACAGTCCAGGTACATGCTGACCAAGCAGGGGTGGGTCATATACACCAGTTTCTCCCTGTATACAGCACCTACCTGTAATTGTATTCCACCAGCCAGCACCAGGTTTGGGGGACAGTCCAGGTACATGCCTACCAAGCAGGGGTGGGTCATATACACCAGTTTCTCCCCGTATACAGTACCTACCTGTAATTGTATTCCACCAGCCAGCACCAGGTTTGGGGGACAGTCCAGGTACATGCTGACCAGGCAGGGGTGGGTCATATACACCAGTTTCTCCCCGTATACAGCACCTGCCTGTAATTGTATTGCACCAGGCAGCACCAGGTTTGGGGGACAGTCCAGGTACATGCTGACCAGGCAGGGGTGGGTCATATACACCAGTTTCTCCGCGTACCCCAGGATATACAGCACCTACCTGTAAGTGTATTCCACCAGCCAGCACCAGGTTTGGGGGACAGTCCACGTACATGCTGACCAGCCAGGGGTGGGTCATATACACCAGTTTCTCCCGTACCCCAGGATATACAGCACCTACCTGTAAGTGTATTCCACCAGCCAGCACCAGGTTTGGGGGACAGTCCAGGTACATGCTGACCAGGCAGGGGTGGGTCATATACACCAGTTTCTCCGCGTACCCCAGGATATACAGCACCTACCTGTAAGTGTATTCCACCAGCCAGCACCAGGTTTGGGGGACAGTCCAGGTACATGCTGACCAGCCAGGGGTGGGTCATATACACCAGTTTCTCCGCGTACCCCAGGATATACAGCACCTACCTGTAAGTGTATTCCACCAGCCAGCACCAGGTTTGGGGGACAGTCCAGGTACATGCTGACCAGCCAGGGGTGGGTCATATACACCAGTTTCTCCGCGTACCCCAGGATATACAGCACCTACCTGTAAGTGTATTCCACCAGCCAGCACCAGGTTTGGGGGACAGTCCAGGTACATGCTGACCAGGCAGGGGTGGGTCATATACACCAGTTTCTCCGGCGTACCCAGGATATACAGCACCTACCTGTAAGTGTATTCCACCAGCCAGCACCAGGTTTGGGGACAGTCCAGGTACATGCTGACCAGCCAGGGGTGGGTCATATACACCAGTTTCTCCAGCGTACCCCAGGATATACAGCACCTACCTGTAAGTGTATTCCACCAGCCAGCACCAGGTTTGGGGACAGTCCGCGTACATGCTGACCAGCCAGGGGTGGGTCATATACACCAGTTTCTCCAGCGTACCCCAGGATATACAGCACCTACCTGTAAGTGTATTCCACCAGCCAGCACCAGGTTTGGGGACAGTCCACGTACATGCTGACCAGCCAGGGGTGGGTCATATACACCAGTTTCTCCGCGTACCCCAGGATATACAGCACCTACCTGTAAGTGTATTCCACCAGCCAGCACCAGGTTTGGGGGACAGTCCACGTACATGCTGACCAGCCAGGGGTGGGTCATATACACCAGTTTCTCCCCGTACCCCAGGATATACAGCACCTACCTGTAAGTGTATTCCACCAGCCAGCACCAGGTTTGGGGGACAGTCCAGGTACATGCTGACCAGCCAGGGGTGGGTCATATTCACCAGTTTCTCCACGTACCCCAGGATATACAGCACCTACCTGTAAGTGTATTCCACCAGCCAGCACCAGGTTTGGGGGACAGTCACGTACATGCTGACCAGCCAGGGGTGGGTCATATACACCAGTTTCTCCCCGTACCCCAGGATATTGAGCTGCAAGCCCACAGTGATAGCACGGGGGAAGTAGACGGTGAAGTATTTGTTGAGAACATTGTTGATGAAGCCAAGTGTTGGGCTGATGCCATTGAAACCAACATCTGTGGAAAAATAATAAATAAAATAAAACTACAAACGAAATAAATCAATCAAAAAGCATAAAACTGGGTTACATTATACAGGGCCCTATTTAAGAATATAAAACCTACTTGCACCCAGGGCAACTTGAGTGAGTGAGTGAGTGAGTTTAGTTTTACGCCGCACTCAGCAATATTCCAGCTATATGGCGGTGGTCTGTAAATAGTCGAGTCTGGACCAGACAATCCAGTCATCAACAGCATGAGCATCGATCTGCGCAATTGGGAACCGATGACATGTGTCAACCAAGTCAGCGAGCCTGACCACCCGATCTCGTTAGTTGTCTCTTATGAAAAGCATAGTCGCACATGCTGCTCAAATAATTATAAATAATACTTGATTTTTTATCTTCAGGGCTCCAGATAAGATACGCACAAAAAGTCAAATCAATGCGTGAAAGATACGCATAACTTTCTCAAAATACTAGTCAGATTTTGTTTGCATGTGTAGACAAAATCTGTCTAAATATTGCAAAGTCCTACACATCCGATCTTAAGATCTCAAATAGTGTTGGTGGTCCGTATTGAAGCAAAGATTGTGGAGTTTTTCCGAATGAACTCCATTAATATTTCTAATCCACATTCGGGGCACGTTTTGTTTAAAAGCTAGCCCTTAAACAGTGTTACTATCACAAAGTTTCTGGTCCGTAATAGTAATAATACAGCTTTAGGGCTACTGTAGATTACGTGATGACCCTAAACCAGGGTAAGAAAACATTCCATGCATAATAGCTCAACATGCACTGTCATTTATTTCCTATCGTCTGTGGGAAGAATGGCTAATCAAAAGAAACTTGTAGAGGTTTTTTTTACAGAAAAACTGTTTCAGTTAGCAGTGAAATGTAAGTGTCTGATATTATCAACGATGTAATTGACAATGGAGCTAAAATCTGTGTTATGTAAAAACACGATGGGAATAGTGTCACTGACACAATGATTTCTAGTTGGAAGTCAAATTCCTGTGGTTGGATGTTGAGCAACATGATGTTGTGAGATTGAAATGTTTAATTTGTGAGCAGTTTAAAATGACAACAGTAGGACAGGGATTTACCTTGAGTCCTGTATTTGAGGGTCCCTTGGACTCATACCCTTAATTTTCAGGGGTCCTGGACAACAAATTGGGGTCCCAGGCACTTAAATATTATTATTAATACCGTTATTGTATTGTGTATCATGATCATCACTTAAATTTAGGGCTGTGACGATTCACCGATGCATCGCGATACATTTAAGTTTGATACAGCTATCGTATCGTGGACAGGTGTATCGATACAAAATGATACACAACTATTTTTCAAAACAGTTTTCTCTTAGACATGTTACAGTACTTATTTAGAGAAAAATATGCAAGTATGATGGAGTTACTTGTTTGTTTATTACAATAGTGTTATTGTTATACATAAATACCTTGAAATAAATCATCTTTAATCTTGATACCATGTCATTCTTTCAAGGTGTATGTATCATGATACGTATCATATCGCAAGTAAAATATCGCGATATGTATCGTATCGTGACATAGTGTATCGTCCAAGCCCTACTTAAATTGTTACAGTAATCAAATACCATAACCCAGCTAGTAGCAAACTCTCAGTGATAACTTATTGTTACTTGATTATATTTTTTACAAAAACTGTTTGGACTTTTTCTGCGCCCCTGTGGATGCACTAATAAATTTTGTTGTGTCCATTGTCAATTTTTATGTGTATAGGACACAGAAATTCACATCCCGTAAATCGCAGGTGGGGGCTAGCGAAGGAACTACTAATGTACAGAAATCGACAATAAGACAAAAAAAACTCAAAAAGCTGCTAAGTGTTATGTGTTTCTGTGAAAGTAATACAAACATGCAACCTGTGAAATACTCCTCCTTTTATTCCATTTGGTATTTTAATCCTCAATTTTAATTTTGAGAAATGAATTACTCCTGAGTCAAAATAATTAGCTGGAGCCCTGATCTGATGATTTTGATTGTTTTGGGTCTGACAAGATTATTTTATTTAACTTCAAAACAGTTCATGACATGAACAGTATTACTGCCATTCAATCACTGTTCATGTAATCAGAGTCACTGACCCAAGCCATTTCCTCATCACTCTGTTTGTTGGTATAAATATCAGGTTACATTCGTCAGTTTCAGGTTGCACCAGTGCATGTTCTAAATGTTTAAATCAGGCCAAGTTAAATAACATGCTCTTATTCAACAAGACTGACAATAATCCTTGTATGTTGAGTGATGAGGTGTGGTTTTAGTAAAAAACAATAGTACTCAGTTTGGAATGCTAGATATATCCCATACATGTACATATCCCATGGGCAGTGGTGCAACCAGCCTCCCCACCTCTATCCAGCCCACCAACTAACACAGACAGACAGCAAGATTCAGCTTATGACACTCCACTCACAAACAGCAGAAGTCATTGTACGTTCAGTCAAAGCCTTAACATCCTGACAAAGTCCATCAGATGTGTATAGATATCAAACGTAAATAATCGGTTATCTTTACATAACAGTTAAATATCTCCATCAAATCATTGATACTAGTTCAGTAGTTCATCCGATAGCCCGGTTATCACAAACAGATTATCAAACTAAGCCAAGGTTAGCACATATTCACATATATGAATATATATATAAAACATAAGCGCATTTGGATGTTTTCTATTGAAGGAGAAGATGTTTTGGTAGGAGAAAAACAAGGTTTACAACAACTGACAATGTTTATGCTGATTTTCCGGATTCAAGGAATTTGTTTGTAAAGTTAGATGTAAATGTATGCTAACAGTGCCATCATAACCGTTACAGATACTGAAAAGTCCCAATATCAGCTGTCAGCTGCATTAGGCCTAAAGTACTGTTGGAAATAGAAAAAAAGTGTTTTTCTACATTTATATCTACAATTAATGTAGTTAATACGTGCAAGTGTAAAATATCTGTTAAACTAAGTTCGGCCTAACTACAGTATCAGTGGTAGGGAAATAGGAAACATATAAAAAGGACTTTACTGAAGAGAGATTAGTGCAAAGATGAGCAAAGCCACTTATTTGGAACAGACCACGGCTTTATGCAAATTAGTGTGCGATGATATTGTATTGAAAAGGACACTTTTTAAATGTCCATTTTGAAATTAGACTTAGCTCGATTACAAACGATAACTGAGGTAAAAAATAATAATTTCAATACTGCAACAATTAATGATGTAGCTACCATGAGTCTCACTATCACTATAAAACCAAACAGGTAGGAGGGGGTCGTCTCAAAAGCAAAACCAGATGGTAGTTGGGGTCGCCTTGGAGGATAGAGATATCAGCTAAGATAAGATAATCCTTTAAGGAAATTAAACTGGGGAAGTAAACAGCATGTCATAACAATTTACAAATATTATCCAGTCCTGTCCATCTTCGGGTGGTCATGCCACCTATATATCTTGAGACAATTAATATGATGGCTGATTTAAGCTTTTCTAATGGTATCATACACTTTTTACATATTTCAACATAAACTTTATGAAAGAAAGACATGTAAGATTTTAATCAATAGATGAGACATATTCACCACTCATGAAAAAGCATAAAATATCTTTGAGATGACCTCTTGTGCCTGTACGTAGCACATGCATTTCATGCCAGGTGAGTTGACAGTCCGTTGTCATACCTGGCTGAGTGATCTAATTGCCATCTATAGTCTGATCTATTGTTTTCAGAAGCTATTCATATTTCTTGCCCGATTTTATGAGTAAACATGCTTTTCTGGATATCCTATTACGCATCCCACTGAACGTCCCGTTAGGCTGATGTGGGTTATTTCGACATAGCTGCTTGCAATTGTGTAAATTTTAGGGATACAGAATAACAGCCTAAAAACAGTTTTTTTTCTATTTCCGACAGTACTTCAGTGTAGATCCCACAGCTATGCAATACGGAAATGGGAGTGTAATATGGAATATATAAGCTCGCTGTATTACATGTCTGTACTGCTATTGTAAGCTTAATTGGGTATGCAAAGTTCCTTATACCATTATCTTGCTTGACAATAGTATAAGGAAATTTACTGAAATGTCACATTATAATCAGATAATAGAAATAAACATTTCAAACATGATAAAACTTGCCTTGACTGTATTGTAGTATGTTTATGACTACTGATGGCAAACAATGCTAAATCCATAACTTACTACCATAAACGAGTATACATTCATTAATATTACCATGGTTCAACATCCCTAAGTCTGAGGTTGAAGGGGCAAGGAATAACCCAGAAACGCTGTGTATACAATAAAGAAGAAGTTGACATCCATAATATTTTGTCTTATATCTCTAAGTCTGACAATAAGAAGACAAAATCTTCAGTTTCACACAGCTAACAGATCAGGCAATTTCATAGTCAGTATAAACTTGATTAAATGCAATTCTAGACAGACAATATTATCTGTACAGATACAGAATAGAGCTCTAAATCTGTTCTCTACAAACAGGGTTCCAGATAATTTTTCAACATCAGGAGTACATACATACTCCTTATTTTTTCAATATAGGAGTACTTGAAAATTAGACTACTGAATGGAATTTAATGGCGTATCAGTAATCTTGTGTTTTGTTTCATATATGCACCACAACATTGCTAGTCTTGTGTAAACAGGTCAATATACAATAATGTTTCAGATAAATACGTCTGTAAATGATTCTGAGACAGTACATCATTGCTGTGGTGCGTATCTGTTACATTTTCTAAATTATTTCCTTCTGTATCGTGAATATTTTTTATCCGTACATACGCCGATACGGCCCGTTATCTGGAGCCCTGCTACAAAGAACATGAAATCCCAAAGTTAACACTTGCTATGTTTGACCCCTTTTCTATTCAAACAGAAGAACTTATATTGTTATAAATCAATACATCAATACTAAACTTTCCAATCAATGACACCAGTGTTCACGAATGGTGTTTCAAAGTAACAGGACATTTGGTCCTGTAAGTTTCAGATGTCTGTCTGACCCATTGAAAATTCACAGGACCTATGGAATAAAGTCAAACACACATTTCAGACTTAACATTTCTTATAATTGGCATTGAAATTATTAACAAACATAAGATTTATAAACAGCAAACAAGTGACACATGTATAACAACTTCAGTCAAAGTCATTGTGAAATATACAGTCGGACACTGGGGCCGGGTTGTAGACTTCTATCAGACCTTTTGGCAAATCTGCCGGATTTGTCAGAAGGTCAGACGCTATTCGTGAACACTGTGACACCCCAACATGTTACTGTTGATTGTCAGTATTTGCTGGCTGGCACTTACCTAAATGGTTCATGAATATCAGATGTACATTCTTGATATCCTTGGGATCAGCATCTCTTGAAGATACAGGGGCTTGGCTGCTCACTAATACCTGTGGAATAATCAACACTCATAACACATGCTGCACAAGACAATGACTGACAATTCTAAGGTAGATTGCCATACAGTCTATCCTTGCTATAATGCCAAACTGGTTATAATGCCCAAAGTTGCCAGAACAGATCTTGCCGCTATTACAAATCCCTTGCTATAATGCTAAACTAGCTATAATACCAAAGGGTGCCGGAACAGACTTTCCCACTTTCAAAAATACCTTGTTATAATGCCAAACTTGCTATAAAGCCCAAGGCTGCTAGAACGGATCTTCCCACTATTATAATCCCTTGCTATAATGCCAAATTGGGAATACTGCCCAAAGGTTGACAGAACAGATCTTCCCACTTTTAAAAATCCCTTGTTATAAAAAATATAATGCCAAACAGGCTGTAAGACCAATGCCAACCTTCCTGTGAATAAATGTTCCAATTCCCTGCTTATAACGCCAGCTTCCTTGTGCCAGATGGTCAACCTCGGCCCACTAGCTGCTATATGCAGGTGATTATTCAGTAAGTGGGCAAAGTTAAGTGAGTTGTGTTATCCTTCCTGAGCTGATTTAGAGTTAATCCTTTACACATATTTCACTGGTGATGGTTTCACAAATGATTGGCTTCACTAAACAAATCTAGCACTACTCTCTATAAACATAAGTTTTTACACATCGCTCAAACTGACAGGAAAGTCATTGCTCCAACAAAATACAATGTGTGAGTGAGTTTAGTCTTACGCCACTTTTAGCAATATTCACGCAACATCACTGTGGGGAACACAAGAAATGGCCTTCACACATTGTACCCTTGTGGGGAATCAAACCCGGACTTCAGTGTGATGAGCGAACACTTTAACCACTAGGCTACCCCACCGCCCCAACAATGTGTGACTTCATTAAGCCACAATGAATGCCAGTATGACCGTGTGCTACAAATTACTCTGCTATGTCCATTCAGTGCACAAGTAACATGAACCTCAAATACAATTATACATATGAATGAGCAGTGATTTTCATTAAATGTACATGTGTGATTTGCTCTATACATCAAATATTGGGAAGACCATTTGTATACAAGAGCAAAGATTGAAGTTTTTGTCTTTAAAAATCATGACATTGACACTGGTACATTACCAGTCATGCGACCAGGAAGTTAAAATAATAAGGGGTTTTATTTATTTTCTAAATGTAATTTTCACTATACAATTTGACTATAACTTAAGTAACAAAGGCAACAACCAGTCGAGACCAGTATCCCTTTACACTAGTTCATTAAACGTCATGTGACCACCAAACATTTTGCGAGAGTACATTTTTCTACTTTCACTATTATATTTTCCATATTCCTGGTTTCTCTTTCAGAATAAAATAACCATGATTAAGTGTGAAGAGTGACATGTCAGGCTGAGCGAGAGACTTTGAGCTCAATGTAAAGTTTCACCATAAGTTCTACAGGAAAACAATGTTAGATAGAATTTATGGATAACAACATATTCATTAATGCACTCATACCGTTGTCAATCAAGTACAGCTTGAGTATGGTCTCTGTCTATACCTAAGTAGGGGAATATCAAAGACTGTTTATACATGGTCCACTTGGCTAATTTGTATGGAATACATACAACATAATATGTCAATTAATTTATTTGTTAATTTGAGTTGAAGTAGACTTTGACATTTCAGCTGATTTGTTGATGCAACTTGAAAAGTCAAAGTCTACTTCAACTCAAATTAACAAATAAATTAATTGACGATTTATCTGCGATTGGCAGTCCAGCATGTACAATTATCAGTAACTGTAACAAAAGCCTTACCAAGCAAAATGCTAAGCAGAAACATGTCTTCATCAGAAATGACATTTTATGTAACGTCTCCGATGATCGACCATCAACAAGATACACAATCGCTTGGTCATGTGCTTCTTGTTTCTTTAGTTTTACTTCCGGGTCAGCCACAGCCAATCAATCTACTCGGGACTAGTCGTCTTATTCCGGGGCAAACCGTGGTTACGGAAAGAGGCGAGTGGTGACGAATGCTTACTGCACGCAGACCGGGATCATTTCGCTAACACGATAACCAGCTGATCGCTTACCTACCGAGTTAAACTGTGGGAATTAATTCTAATCACGAAGGACCCTAAAGGAAGTGTATGCACGATATTTTATTATTCATAATTGATGATTTATACAATTTTATTGATTGTTATTAATTTTTTGTCAATTACAAATTACAGTGACAAAAGTGAAGCAGCAGTATATCACTTACTTGATAATGGTGTCAGAACCTGCCGAAACTTCGCTCTCACAGTAATAAAGAATTAAGTTGTTCATTCATATATTGTTATCCTTCCTTAAGTACATATGACTTTAGCTCTGTAGATTTAAGAGTTCTGTATATAGGTATATGCCAAATATCATCCCTCGACTAAACAGTAAACACGTTTGCGAAGTACGAATAAATAAAAGGTTGGTCATTTAATCACAGATTTAGTCAGAGATATTGTGGAAATCATGATTATGACTTCCAGATAATTTTTAATATTCATAGAATTCAGTGAAAAGCGTTTTTTTCTTCAAGAAATGCTTGGAACAAAGTGCTTTCAATCTATCCTAAGTGTTATATACACTTACAATTTGAAGCATTATTATGAGTTCATTTTAAAACCGAAAAAAAGTAAAGTAAAAGATGCAATTCAATTGTGTTGATCTGGGTTTATGGATTCTCCCTCCAGATATGGAGTGGGTGAGTGAGTATAGTTTTTACGCCGCTTTTAGCAATATTCCAGCAATATCACGGACGGGAACACCAGAAAAACAGCGTGAAAGGCACAGACTACAGTTGTTTCTAAGATGCCTAGCAGTTAGAACAATCGAAAAAACCCAAACATTATTAGACATTCTAAGATGCCTAGCGGTTAGAACAATCGAAAAAAAATACATTATCAGACAATAAAGGTATAGTTTTTTGATGACGTAACAATTGAATGACGTTATCCCGTCACTGTGAAATTCTAGTGTGCCCCCTCGTAATCGAACCATTTTACATTACGTCACAATGTAAGCGACGTCACGATGCATGTCAGTTGTCATCGCCTCGTACGGCCACCTACAGTAAACTACTCCTTTGCATCCCGTTTCTTGGTTTGCAGTTGTTTCACGCAGCTAACATCACTGGTGGAAAAATTACGTTTATGTTTTACGAAGGTTAAAATGTGTCAATTCGACTCACAAGTTTTCAGCGACACGGTAACGTTCGCAATGTTTACATTCCCACAATGCAACCGGGGAATGTCGCTTGACTACTCAGCTTCATCTGGATGTACTGATCTAAACTTGCGTTGGTAGTAGAAATGCGACGTTCATATTTCCCCATATGGTTTACGTTAATCACAGATGTAATTTAGAGAAAATATTTAACCCGAACGTAAACCGTCATCAAACTGTTTATCGTTTGTTTTTCTGGTAACTTTCGTGTTAACGTAGGGGGAGAGACACATCAATAGAACAGCGCGCCAGTTAGCCCTGTGCGAGGATTCTTAATTTAGGTCACCGACACCGTCGTTTGTTTTCTGCCTTAAATTAATCGTAATTATCTTTAGAAAGTATTAAATTTGGCTTCTTAGAAAAGAAATACAGTTCGCTCAACCACCATGTATAGTGTAATAAAGCACACTTTCGCCCTAAACTATTCTCTCCCAAAAAAGAAACGCATATAGGAATTTCAACTGTATTTTTATGTTTATTTTGAAACACCTTGTAGGTTTAATGAGTCAATGAAATATAGCCAAATTGCACACTGGGAATGTAGACTTATCCGTCTTTGGCACCAACTCGAGGAAAGTCAGTTTTAGTGTCACATGGAGACGTGTGATGGCGCTGAAGTCCTCGTGTGACCACCGTGGGCATCCAGAACTGCACGGCATCGCCTCGGCATCGATCGAATAAGTCTCAGAATCTCGTGCTGCCCAATCGCAGCCCACTCAGCCTGTAGTGCCTGTGCGAGTTGCTGAAGTGTCTGGGGCTGAGGGTTACGGCGTCGCACCCGTCTGTCCAGGGCTTCCCCACAGATGTTCGATCGGGTTTAAGTCCGGTGATCTTGAGGGCCAGGGGAGCACATTGATGTTGTGGTTCTGGAGGAAGTCTCTAGTGTGACGTGCTGTGTGAGGCCTGGCATTGTCCTGTTGAAACAACTCCCTCTGGCGATCAATGATTGGAAGGAGGTGTGGGCGTAGGATTTCGTCACAGTACCGTTGAGCTGTCAGATCGCCCTGGATCATCACCAAATCACTTCTCCTACGGCAGGTGATCGCTCCCCACATCATAACACTTCCCCGGCCGAATCTGTCCACCTTGGGAACGCAAGCGTCGGCGAAACGTTCACGGCGACGTCTGTACACCTGCATTCTTCCATCGCGTCGTTCCAATAGAAATCGTCATTCATCACTGAACCAGATTCTACGCCAATTCGGTAGGTTCCAGGCCTGAACGTTGGTGCAACATTGAACTCGATGTCGACGATGTTGTCGAAGCACAGGGAAAAAATAAGGTCTTCTGGCACGTAAACCAGCCTCTCTCAACCTGTTCCTGACGGTCTGTGCAGAAAGCCTCCTCAATCCGGGTATTTGTCGAGCGGTACTGGTCGCCGTAGCTGTTCGATGACGCAGGTGATGTACCCGGATGTAGCGATCCTGCGCCGCAGTGGTCACTCGAGGTCGCCCACTACGAGGGGCATCTGCTACCGCATTCTGCCGGCGATATCTCTCCCAGAGCCGTGAAATGGTGCTTTGGTGAACAGTCATGCGTCGGGCAACTGCACGTTGAGACTGGCCAGCTTCAAGCAAACCAATGGCGATATGACGGTTGGCTTCACTTAGACGTGGCATTTTGCGTTCGTCAACAATATTCCAAATACAGTGAATAATCGACAGACAGCGATCAACCTTTTATACCCATCATTGAGACTATCTGATCCCCAACTTTCACGTGCATTGCATGTGAATTGTGTATTCTGTGACACTACACGTCGAAATTGAAAATCATGCTGTTAAATACGGGTATTTTACGGATGGTGCGTTTTGTTGTGATGTTTCCAAACATAAACACCATAGGACTCATAAACAGAGCAACACCTTTTGTAAAATGAATCACCTTTTAATTCATTGCTACATGGATTTGCTATTTTCATGATGCGTTTCTTTTTTGGAGAGTATATTATAACGTTAAAGCACTCGGACGCAAGCGTCCTCGTACTTTAACTATAATAGTTCAGGGCGAAAGTGTGCTTTATTACACTATACATGGTGGTAGAGCGAACTGTATTTCTTAAATAATGACACTCGCATCAAACAAACCTCCCATCTGTCGTCTTTTCATTCTTGTTAAATAGAGTTGATAGTAGTTGCTGTAGCATTTTCATAGCACAACTTCAGATCAAGTGAGATGGTGCTTGCATGAATGGTCCTTTTGTGATGTTTAATACAATATATATTACAATATCATCTGCCATTAGCTAAATTCCCAGCCAAATTTCAACGAACGTTGAAGTATTTTCATAGTACAACTTCAGATCAGATGGGCAGGTGCTTGCAGGAATGGTTCTTTTGTGATTTAACACAATAAGTAATACAATATCATCTACACCTTTAACCACATTCCCAGCCAAATGTCAACTAACGATTAATTTGGGTCTGTAAACTTTCATGTCTAAACATTGCGGTTAATATGCCAAGTCTTGTCCACTGTACCTGTTAAACTCGGGCATAAATATGTCCAACCACATCAGCAATTTTGTGTTTAGTATATACATCACAATCGACATGAATCATCTGAATTTCAAATACCGCCCGTCAGATGATAGAATTACATGACTTGGATACCGCTGTTCGTTCGAATTCCCGTTCCAGCATGATTCTCTGCATTGTTAACAGAAGACCCGTGCAATTTGAGTGTGTGAAATTAATAATTTTACGCCGCTGTTAACAATATCACGGTGGGGGACACCAGAAATGGGCTTCTTACATTGTACCCATGTGGAAAATCGAACCTGGTTTTCGGCGTGACGAGAGGGCGCTTTAACCACTGGGCTACCCCACCGCCCCCCTGCATTTTGCTACAACTTGTATGATGTATGTATAGTTGTATATATACAGGAGTCACGTGTGGTCACACCGCATTGGGGTTTGAAGAGTAGCGTGCTCTAGATGTGCCAGGACCAGCTTAGTGTGGGTTCGAATCCCAGATTCACTCTGGTTCAGATCTTTATATATACCCGAGGCCTTGGATGATCTTGGCGACGCAAGTTTTGCGTCCCTTAGGTGAACCGTTATCCTATAGCCGGGCCCCTGTTGGTCTTGATTGTTTCTAGCACCATGCCCCTAAAAGGGCACTCACTCACCCAGCCACTCACTCACTCACTCACCCACCCACCCACTCACTCACCCACTCACCCACCCACACCGTTATCAAGATAATGTTTATCCATAGTTTTATGGTTCACACTGTTAGAGAGTTTCCCCTGACATGGAGCCTTGATATTCTAAGGGAGTTGCCTAAGCAGATAAAACATAATATTGGCCATTAATGGTCTAACCGTGTACCTCTTGAGGGGTATTCCAGCAGAATGATTCCTTTGGATACAGTTAAAAAACCCTATGAAACTGGATGGAACAGACATTGCCTTGTTGTTGGGAGGAGGCATTAAGTGTTTCACTACTTTAATGTAACTGTTTAGTCGGGAAGGGGTGAACCCACGACTCATCCATGATTCCAAATTGCTTAATTAAATCAGCTGGGTCTGACTATCAAACATAATTCAATATTCTATTGACATTTCTCATAGAAGTACCAGTCCAAGGTGTTCCAGAGCATGGCTTATCTTCAGGGCTTTCTCTTTTCCTCTTTCCCCCCGCTGCCCTTTCTCTTAACAGGTGTAAAGAAAGCGC